AAATCTCTTTGATAGTACACAGACCACAAAAAAAAAAATGACAGGAGTCTTAACCAATTCCTACTTATCCAAAACTTTAAAAAAAAAGGTATTGGCTCTACATATACTTAAACTACACTGATCAGTGTGGAGGAAGCAATACTTTATGCAGTAGTTTGCATGTCATTTGACCTGGGCTATTTGCATAGTCTGTATCAAAAGAAGTAAATCAGTTATGGGAGCAGGGGAGATCAAGATTACAGAAATCCATTAACCTGCGATCAATTACTGTGATACAGAGGACAGGATTTTTTTGCCTTTTCAGACAACTAGCATTTTAAGAAGCATCATTGTTTTTTCTCACTACATATTTCCTATGAATACTATTTTATGATATATTATTTTATGTTGAAGCACACATCATCCTTGGAGTATAGACCTTAGTGCTTATTAAGAACGGATATAAGAGTAGTCACATTCCTGCTGTAGCTTCTGCTGTTTAGATCATGTTCTGATGCAGACATACCCTGGGCTGTCGCAACACTGACATGTACATTTTATAGATATTGCTGACTCTATGTTGACTTTTGAACGGCAGTGGCAAGATGATGCGAGGCAGCCACAATAACCACAAAACAAACTGTAAACAGTAAAACAGCATTTTTTGAGGGTTCAGTGTTTGTATTGCAGCTGTGGGTACAACCAAATGGAGTTAACATAGCCTTCTCATGGAAAAGGTGATTCATGCACCAGATAAATGTAGTGCTTATTCTTTTCAATAGCTGCTTATAGTACTCATCATGTCATATATTTAGCATTTTTTCCTTTCCTTTTACACAGGTTCCATTGAGGTATTTACTAGCAATGCTGTATATTAACTTCACCCCTCTGTGGGATCCAGTTATTGAGCTTATTGCGTAAGTAATTTAAATTTATTCTGGCAATAACTGAATATGACGTGACTTGTAAAGTGTTTTTTTCCTCAACTGTTGATGTTTTAATAAATAATCCAATTGTTATCATAGAACTTCCTGCTTCACACATTCTTATGGGAAATGTTCCATTAATGTAACACTTTGTGCTAGATGGCTGAGCTTGAGAAAAGTGAAGAATACGTTCACTGGCTGTGTTCCCAGAGCATAAGCTTATCCCCATATTTTTTTATAGGTCTCATGCAAATGAAATGGAAAATAAAACTTTCTGGAAGGTGTTCTACGAGCATTTGGAAAAGTCTGCTGTTCATGCTGGTAATGTTTTACTGATTGTGAAGTAACATCCATATCAGATTATAATTGCCGTAAAAAAATGTTTTAATAACTGTTAACTCCAGTATGTAAATGTATCCAAGTTGAGTGACTTATGAGATGCAGTTGGCTGGTCCATCAGGAATTAATACTATACCTATTACTCAGTGGTCAGAGATAGACCTCTGACATTTTGGCATTTGCCTGGCGAGACCTGGATATATTTTTATTCTCATAAAAAAATGGATTAGGACTGTGTCCATACTGTTCCAAAAGGAAATCTTCAGTAAAGTTAAAGTAGAAAGTACGGCAAAACTTTTTTTGAATAGAGTAAGGCAGGGTTATAACCCATGTAAGGTTTTATTTTGCCAGTTGTGTTTCATTAGGGAGATTTCCCTACACTTCCTGTCCCACAGGAGACATTTCCCTACACTTCCTGTCCCAGCGCCAAGACAAGAATTGAGAGAAAATCCCTCCAAAGCAAGGGAATCCTCAGTTGTCACCAGGGTCACCAAAACTAGTTTGCCCATTGCAAGATATCCCCACTATTCCCAAAATGTGTGATTTTCTTTCATTTTCAGTGATAATGGTAAACAGGACAAATAGGGCGAATCTCCATAGCAGTGGCACAGACAGCAATAATAACTGATGGGTTCTAATCAATCTTCACTCTATCCAAAACTAAAAACAAGTTTTTCCTTTAGTTGTACTTTAACCATTGCTCTTACTGCTGTTCCCAGCTCTGTAATGGGCATCTTTCATTGATGCTTTTACTGCACTAAACGAAATAAACGTGAAAGCAATACATGACTAAGTTTTTTATTACTTTAGTATGATTTTAACTTAACTACAGGTTCCCTTCATTCATTTCATGTATAAACAAAATTGCTAAATGATTGACCAGACACTATTCTCACAAGCAGAACTCTCCTAATTTTTGTATAGTCTGAGCATTGAATGACATTGGGCTGTCAGTAGGCACACCTCTTACTTCACTCTTTGGCTAAAGCTGGCCATACATTATACAGTTTTCTTCTTTAACCACTTGACCTCCAGAGGATTTACCCCCCTTAATGACCAGGCCTCTTTTTGCTACTCGGCACTGCACTAATTCAACTGATAATTGCGCGGTCATGCAATGCTGCACCCAAACGAAATTTACGTCCTTTTTTTCACACAAATAGAGCTTTCTTTCGGTGGTATTTGATCACCTGTGCGCTTTTTATTTTTCACGCTATAAAACAAAAAAAGCCAAAAATTTTGAAGAAAAACTATTTTTTTACTTTCAGCTATAAAAAATATATAGTAAACTCAAAGTTGGTTATAAATTTAGGCCAAAATGTATTCTGCTACATGTTTTTGGTAAAAAAAAAATCCCAATAAGTGTATATTGATTGCTTTGTGTGAAAGTTATAGCGTCTATAAACTATGGTATAGATACTGCAATTTACGCCATTTTTTTGCTATACAGCACTGCGCTAGTTTAACGGACAATTGCGCGGTCATGCAATACGGTACATAAATGAAATTTACATCCTTTTTTTCCCCACAAATTGAGCTTTCTTTCGGTGGTATTTGATTGCCTATGCGGTTTTTATTTTTTGCGCTATAAAAAAAAGGCTGACAATTTTGAGGAGAAAAAAAACAATATTTTGGACTTTTTGCTATAAAACATGTCCAGTAAAAAAAAAATTTTAAAAATCAAATTTAGTCATAAATTTCTGACAAAATGCATTCTGCGACATGTCTTTGCTAAAAAAAAAAAAAAAAACCCAATATGTGTAAATTAATTGGTTTACGTGAAAGTTATAGCGTTTACAAATGGCGAGAAAGATACTGGGATTTTTAGGTTTTTTAAATACTAATAATGGCGGCAATCAGCGACTTATGGCGGCGATCAGCGACTTATGGCGGGGGACTGCGGCGGACATTCTGACACTGGGGGGGTTCTGACTTGGGGTCACTGACATCCCCAGTGACACCAGTACAGTGATCAGTGCACAAAAAAAAAAACACTGACACTGTACCAATGGCACTGGGGAGGAAGGGGTTAAGTTTATTTTGCAGGGAAGGGTTATCTGTGTGAGGGGGAGTGTTTTACTAGGGGGCGGGGTGTGTACTGCAGGGGGCACGGCTGATCGGGAGAGTGAAACTCTTCTGTCCCGATTAGCTTGTCCTCGAGCTGTCAGGGAAGTGACAGAAAGCACAGCTACTGCAGCTGTGCTCTCTGTCACTGATTGACGCCGATCTCCGGGAGATAGCCGGTAAGGATTGGCTGTGACCCGGCGACTGACATCTGCGGCTGTGATCGGCAGGACAGGTAGAGCGGCGGAGCGCCCCCTACCTGTTTACAAAACACGTGTTTTAAATCGTGGTTTTGCCTGCCCGTGCCACCCTGCCGCCGTATTTCTACAGTGGCAGGGCGGCAAGTGGTTAATTTCCTTTAGATTTACCTTCAGCTATGTAGAGCAAGGACCTTCCTGCCTGCATACAAATCAAAATTGTTTAGGTTTAAACTTGTATTATATGGTTTTTGTAAAAATCTAAAGGAAAATTGTATAATGTATGGCCAACCTTATCTATAAATCTATGAGAAAAAGGTGCAAAGCATAGTGGTTGCCCATAGCAACCAGTACTATAAAAATTATTACTAACTGTTTTACTTTGCTCAATCTTTCATAAATAGCCACTGTTGGTTAAAGTGGCATTAGCCAAACCATCAAAAAAAAAATAAATAAAAATTTTTTATATTGCATTTGTGGTGGCTGTATCAGTATCCTTTTTAGACTTGTTTCCTTTATTTTCGCAAGTAGGTCTGTTATTTTTTTAACAGACCAAGATGTGCAGCAAAATTGTCAGTTAGAGTGCTGAGACAAACCATTTCACATTGAAAGAGGTGTTTTACAATGGCCAGATTTTATTTATTTATGTGAAAAAAAACTTGCTGTAACTGCTTAAAAAACATTAGCTGGAATTCAACTTTAATTTGTTAATCAAGTTCAACTAAATCTGCTAGTACATCCAACAGTATCCTATCCCCAAATGGACAATGCTGCTGTCCAAAGGTGTCTCTATTGTTCCTTCATAAAGTGGAGCCACCTTAAGACAGAAAGTGTATAACTGGCTGGACCACCAGATGAAAATAAAGGAGAAAAAGCCTAAAATTTTTTAAAAAAATAATGCAGCCACCACATATAATCATTGGTAAGCTGCAATATATTAAATTTTTTGGGGTTTACTTCTGCGTAAAGCAGAACTTCACTCTTGATCAGTGTTGACTATTTGTAATCCTTGTGCTGGTAGTATTAGTAAATAGATAATATATTCTATTTGCTTGTTTTAAACTTTTTTTTTTTTTACATTTTATTTACATACTTCCTGATTTCCATGCTTAGGTAAATGATGTTGTTCATCCCAGGACACATCAGGAGGAGAGGAGGGGTTTTCACAGCTAAGCACGCTCCCCTGCCTACATGCCTGAACTATGGGCAGATGGATTCCATGAAGTAAATGCTACATGAATCATTTGCCCTTACTCAAGTTTCCTGCAGTTAGAAATGCAAGGGATTGCTTTTCAAAGTGATTTCTCAACAAAATAAAGCATGGAGATCTGGATGGATAAATGATTTTCCTCTGAATAGTAAATATTAAATAGCATTTTTTGTTTATGGTGCTTGATGCAGTGTAGATCCCCTTTAACTGCCAGCATGAAGAGCATTTTTCAGAGCTGTGGTCATTTATATTGTTTGTAAACATGTGTTCTCTCTTTTTATAGAGAAGGAACTTCAGGAGGAGGAGCTAAATGAGGAAGCACCAAACAGCCAGATCCATGGAATTGATGTTTCTAATGCTGGAGATGTTGGAATCTTATATGTTGATATGCTGAAATGTAAAACTGATTTAAATTACAGGACTGATTACACCAATTTTCGGTTCCTGCTTTGGAAAGCAATGTCACTGTTTCCTGACCGGGTGGAGCCGAGGTCAAGGGAACTTTCCCCTCTCCTGCTCAGGTTCATAAGGTAAGACTGTATGCTATAAAAAGAGCAGTGTATCACCAGCTCACATTTTGCAACAGTACATGTCTTCTGTATTTCAGTAAATGTTCTGATTTTGATATCGCTCAAAGGGAACAGTATTTAACCAAAAATATTGTGAAGAAATCATTGGTCCATTCATTTATGGATGGGATGGTTAATCAACATGAGAAGTAGTAGAAAGTACAGCAACCAATGGGGGATGTATTATATTTTTAAATACGTGAGCAGGTGAAAGCAGGTTGCCTAAGGCTTCATGCAAACGGGTGTATGAAAATATTCCTATCTATGCTGTGTATTTTAGAAAAAATGCAGCATAAAAAATGGTTGATTGGCATGTGTTGCATGTATGTGCATAAACTCATTCTACTGGCTACAATATTCATATATTCTGCCCATTGTAAGCATGTGTATGTGCATAAATTATGCCAGCAAGCTTCTCTCTGAATGCAGACTTAGGCCATTTTTTTTCTAATGCACCTGCACACTACTCTATAAATCAAGGCTTAATGCCACAATGTACATGGGCATTGGCTGAAGAAAACACTGCAGGATGCCTCCAAAAGCAAGGTTTTTGTGCTCATGTGCATGAGTCTAATTCTTGAGTACTCAGAAGTCCTCTGACATGCAGCAAAAAATCCTTGTTTAGTAAGGCTGTATAAAGTTCAGTCATAGTAGCAATCACTCTTGTATCTGAACGTCGATGACCTATAGTCTGATTAGATGTTGCAATTTACTTCACTTTACATAAAATTGTTGCAAAAGAAATTGTAAGCTTGCATTGGCTGTCACCTGCAATCAGAGGTTTGAAACTTTCATTTGCACATTTGGGCCAGCTTTGACCAGTGCAAGTATGCATGTGCCCTACCTTTGAGATCCCTGTAGAAGCTGGAAATCATGCTAATAGGCATTGCTACTACAGTGATCGCCACTAGCTGCTGGGTCCTGTGCCAAGCGGCTGCCCTGCTACATTATGGAAACGGGGTAGCTTACGTGGCACGGGCAACATTTTTTTTCTTAATGTATGCAGAGCATTCTGTGATTGGATGAGGTAGAGAGGTGGAAGGTGACATCATGATCTCCATCTCGTCTAATCAGAGAACTTTTTGATTTCATTGAGAAAATGAAAAGTGTTCTATGAATGGCGCCTGTGCCAAGCGGGACCCATAAGATAGCGTCAATCACTTTATTAGCAATGCCTACAAAGTGATTTCAAGCTTCCAGGGGGATCAGCCAGATATCGCACATGCATCTTACATCTTGGACCAAGATGCACCAATGTAACTTTGCAAAAATATTCACCTAGCTTTAAAAGCTTTCAACATTGTGGGAATTCAATATAAGTGCTGTTGCCTCCACACTGCTGAGAATTGGGTTGTGGGAAACCATTGACTACTTTCTCTAGACACTGGTCAGAGTGGCTACCAAGGAAGACTAAACAACAGTTATTATGAAGAGAACTTTCCTTGGCAATCAGACTGTTACTCACCAAGCAGTTAAAAGCTCCTTTGTAGATCTCATTCAGTTGTAAAACTGAGATATGTAATCACTTATACAAATATCTCCATGTTCATTTTTAAATACTATTCTGTCATTGACAAGCATTCAATGAGAAGCATTGTAAAAGTCCTGACATTGCCTTACAGATAGGCAGTGACAAAAGTCATTAAAATGGTTGTAAAGGCAGAATGTTTTTTACCTTCATGCATTCTATGCAGGAAGGTAAAAAAAAAGCCGCCTGGGTGCAGCTTCAGTCACCCCTTATACTTACTTGAGCCCCCTCTCAATCCAGCGATGTGCACAGTAGCCTTGGCTGTCCTGGGACTCTCATTCCCCATTGGTTCACACAGCAGCGGAGTGTGAACCAATGAGGAGTGCACTTGCAGTGTACAGTATGTTTGCCTTTAGTAAATCAACCTCCCTGTCTTCAGATCATGTCATTTGGCACCCATATATTTTGATTTCTTTGGGTTCAGAATTTAATAATATTTATGTTATTTGTGATATTATTACTTAATTGTGGATTTTTTTTAATTGGGTAAAGTAGGTGCTTCTTATGTCACATGCTGCTTTTGTTTACTTTTATACTTTTGTTACTTGAGCTTTTTTCTTTATTCATTATTCCCACCTAGAATATTTCTTAATTGGCTTTGGGGCAATGGATGTATCGGGTGTCTTTTTAATGTCTTAACGTCATTACCTTTTTAAAGAACTACAGCTAGGCTTCTTTGTATGTGCCAGAGGTCAGTTCTAGCCAGGAGTCTTGTGGTAATATTCATATGATAAGTAAACAGTCTGTTTCAATGCTCCCTTTTAGCAATGAATATTATCCAGCAGACTTTCTAGTAGCCCCCTCCCAGGATCTTCGCAAGAAAGGCAAAGACAATGCAAAGAGTGGAGTTGAGGCAAAAAGTGGAGCTGAAGAAAGTGTCACTCTAGAAGAGGATGCAGTTATGGAAGAGGAAGACAATGCAGAGTCTGACGAACCCTACAATACAGGGTTGCAAACAAAGAAAACAAGAAGAGCTGCCTCAAAGTGAGTCTGAATAAGTTGAATATGTGAGCATTCTGTAATAAAAAGAAAATGATTTATATTAGTACAAATGGTATTTACTGACAAATCTTTAAAGGCTAAGTTCACCTTTTACAAAAGAATAATAATAAATGCACATTTTTGCAGGTAAAAAAAATAATTTAATTTTTTTTGCTCAGGAGCCTGCTAAGCATTGCATCCATAATCCGTAAATAACGGGTGCCATGTCAGGCTTCCTGCAGACACTTGCTACAGATTTCTGCCTGTACCTCTGTATGGGCTTTTGGTTTGAAAGGAATAGGAAGTAGCAATGATCTACCAGAGTGTTCATCAGTGCCCTTTCAGTTCATTGGGAACTACAAGCCGTCTGCCACTGTGGGTGAATAAATGACGCAAATGGCGGTACCCCACACAGCCATGCTTTTTTTTTTAAATATGACAGCAAATGCGGGGAGAGGATCTTCAATCCGCTATCAGAGGGAAGGGTTGTTCGGAGATGTGGCTGGAGGTTTCTGTACATGTTACACCCTATATACGGAGCATTTGATTGGAGTCATAAACACGTTAATTGGCATCCTTTTGGCACCCATCTGAACAAGGCCTAAAGGCGTTATAAATACTGTTGGATGAATCCACCTTGTTTGTCTGGCCAGTCATAGAGGTTGCATGCTGAAAGTGCTTTCTGTTTATTAAGTGATTCTGATCATTCCCCCACCCCAATCACCATGTACCCTACTTTATGCTGTCTCGCCTATGGGCATCAGGGTGAAGGGAGCTCAGTGAACATCCACTGATCCTCTCTTTTAATTGATCATTGATTAAAATGCATTGTTCACATGGTAGAATTGAATTACCATCTTATAACCCCCATAGTTGTCAGTAGAAAGCTAATTTCTTGCTAATGTGACAAAGCCATTGCCTGTGTAGTGTATTCTTTACACAAGTTTCCTAATTTTGAAAATATTAGAGTAGAATTGAAAGTATCATAGTTCTGTCTGTATTTTCTGTAACTGTTTTCAAATTTTGCTTTTAGACCTGTGAGGGAATACTGTATTTTTAGAGATTTTCAAATTGGGTATTGTAGTTTTAGAAACGGTTGTCATTTTTCACATAAGCAGTTTTAAATAATCCCTTTTGCTAGTTCTTCTGCTGTAAGTTGAATATCTAGTGAAAACTTATTGTAATGCATACTTGACTAGAGATTTGTTAAAGGAAGGAACAAGGTATTTTATTTCCTTTTATGTTAACAAGAATTCAACCTCAAGGACCTCTTCATCAAAATCAAAAGGTGCTTAAAAGGAAGGATTTGCTTAGTTGAAGTTAAAATAAAATATTACTTGTGTTATTATTCGGATCTATATAGACCCTTTTTTTTTATTTCTTTGCGGCAGAGTCTTTATACATAAGGGGCTGTGGGAGTAGCATTACATTATCCTTACTGGTTTTTTTCTCACCATTTTCACATTCAGAATATCAGTCTTTATTTACCACGTACATAAAACCTTTTTTGGCCCACATGCTGCCTTCTCAATCCTTTCTTGTAGTCCTCAGCCAGTTCAGAAAGTTAATATGACTCAAAGTTATGGAGTCTTCATTTCCTCACAACTAAATGCTTCATGTTATCCCCTTTCCCTTAACCTCTTTGTTGGGTCTAGACATTATAAGTTACAGCTATTACTATAATGTTCATTTTGGAAGTGTTCTCTTTTTCTGGATTTAAGTAGGTGCAGTATCTTTTATCAGTATACATACAGACATTTATAATTTGCTAGATGCATGTGACTGCCAGTCTTTTTACCAGCCCACATTACGGGTGGCCATAACTTGATTTCTGCAAATGTCAAAGCAAAGGCAGTCGCACTCTTGTAGCATATCTGTACTAGTTATGTGTTACTCACATGCATGAATTTTATGAACCAGTATCATAGGGATTCACGAACAGCGGTGTTGGTTTTCTTCGTAATATAATTTAAGTAAAAAAGTTAGGTTCAGTGGAATACAAAAAAAAATATATATATATATACCGGACTATCATGTAAACTAACTTTTAGCCAAATTCTGTCATATATTTACAAAATTACTTTTTACTTACAGACAGCTCATTGAACACCTGAAAGTATTTTCAAAGTTTTCCAATCCACGTGCTTTGTTCTTGGAGCCCAAGTTACATGACCTCTATACTCAGGTATTCAGTTTGGCAAGTTCAAATGGAAAACATATGGGTTTGTTGTCATCTATTCCAGTAGTTTCCAATTTCAGTTCTCAAGGACCTCCAACAGGCCATACTTTGGGAATTTCTCTTAGATAAAATAGCTATTAAAGCACCAGTGCGAGGTGAAAGAAATCCTGAAAACATGACTTGTGGGAGGGTACTTGAGGAATGAGGTTGGAGACCACTGGTTTTCTCCATTATACCTTTTGTTTTAATATAGTTTTTTTTATCATTTGCAAATGCTAATAAAGTACATGTTTATTGTTTAGAAAATAAAGTGCAACTTAAGTAAAGTCTGTGGAGGCATCAGCAAAGAACTAGCTTAAAATGAGAATAGTTATAAACAGTTTTTTAATATACCAGTTTTGAATATGTGCCTGTAGGCATTAGGTGACAGTCTTTCCATATGGCTTTTTTGGCCAAAGTGGGTACTAATCAGTTGTCCACTGGGCAGTACACAGCAGCTCTGAATGACTGTTCTCTTGAAACCCTTCCTAGTGTGTGGGTGAAAAAAACCTGTCTCCACACAGGGTCAGTGTGGTCATTCTCTTTGCCTTGAGTTTTCCCATCCTGGGTGCTCTGTGGGGTTCTCAGGTGGGTGAACGAATTGGTAAGAGGAGTCACTGCAAAAAAAGCTCATCGGTAGTTCGAGTGGCAGAGGTACTCAAAGTGGTTATTCAAAGGATAGGGACAAGTTGTCTGCTTTAGTAAAACATCCAATTACTTTATTTCACTGAATAAAACGTGTTTTGTGGCATTAAATTGCCACTTCCTCAGTTCAAAGTGATAAAATTGATGTCCATGGGTAAAAAGTAGCCATAGGGTACAGCAGGTATTTAATATAACTCAGAAACTTAAAACCTATCAAAAGCAATTAAATATGCGAGGGAGAAGTGTGCAAAGGATAAAATAAATGTGGCGGTCGGGAAGTTTCTAATATATACACTATATTACCAAAAGTATTGGGACACCCCTCCAAATCTCAGGTGTTCCAATCACTTCCATGGCCACAGGTGTATAAAATCAAGTACCTTGCCATGCAGACTGCTTCTACAAACATTTCCGAAAGAATGGGTCACACTCCGGAGCTCAGTGAATTCAAGCATGGCAATCTGTGCTATGAGTCCATCCATGAAATTTCCTTGTTACTAAATATTCCACAGTCAACTGAATGACAGAGCAGGGTCAGCGCATGTTGAAGCACACAATGCACAGAAGTGTCACCAACTGTCTGCAGAGTCATTAGCTAAAGACCTCCAAACTTCGTGTGGCTTTCAGATTAGCACAACAGCAGTGCATAGAAAGCTTCATGGAATGGGTTCCATGGCCGAGCAGCTGCATCCAAGCCTTACATCACCAAGTGCAATGCAAAGCATCGGATGCAGTGGTGTAAAGCACGCCACCACTGGACTCTAGAGCAGTGGAGACGTGTTCTCTGGAGTGACGAATCGCACTTCTCTGTCTAGCAATCCGATGGGCGTTCCTGGGTTTGGTGGTTGCCAGGGGAACGGTACTTGCCTGACTGCATTGTGCCAAATGGAAAGTTTGGTAGAAGGGAGATTATGGTGTGGGGCTGTTTTTCAGGGGTTGGGCTTGGCCCCTTAGTTCCAGTGAAAGGAGCTCTTAAGGTGTCCGCATGCCAAGACATTTTGGACAATTTCATGCTCCCAACTTTGTGGGAATAGTTTGGGGATGGCCCCTTCCTGTTCCAACATGATTGCACACCAGTACACAAAGCAAGGTCCATAAAGACATGGATGAGCTAGTTTGGAGTGGAGGAAGTTGACTGGCCTGCACAGAGTCCTGACCTCAACCCAATAGAACACCTTTAGGATGAATTAGAACAGAGACTGCGAGCCAGGTTTCTTGTCCGACATCAGCGCCTGACCTCACAAATACACTTCTGGAAGAATGGTCAAACATTCCCATAGACACACTCCTAAACCTTATGGACAGCCTTCCCAGAAGAGTTGAAAGTGCTATAGCTGCAAAGGGTGGGCCAACTCAATATTGAACCCTACGGACTAAGACTGGAATGCCATTAAAGTTCATGTGCGTGTAAAGGCAGGCGTCCCAGTACTTTTGGCAATATACTGCATCTCTAAATTCCTGATTACTACATTAATTTTATTATTTGCACTCTTCTCGCTCGCACATTTGATTGCTTTCGATATGTTTGAGGTTTCTTTGACTGTGCTGTATTTTAAATTACCTATGACAACTTTTTAGCCACGGACGCCAATTTTATCACCTTGAATTGAAGAAGTGGCAGTTTAAAGCAAAACACATTTTATTCAGTGAAAAAAGTAATTAGATGTTTTACTGAAGCAGACGACTTGTGCCTATCCTTTGAATAACTACTTAGGATGCCTCTGCCAACCAAAATTCCGACTGGCTTGTTTTGCGCTGACTCCTCTTACTTATTCATGAGAAAGGTCTGACTAGACGGCAGTGCAGTTCCTCCCATACACCTGGCTTGAAGAGCAAGTACATCACTTCAAAAGTGACATCTCTGGGCCCAAGTCGACACGCCCACCAGCTGGTCATACAGTGTGAACAAGGGGCTTCTTGGTCACATGACTGCAAAGAAATACAAACAAGGTACAATATGTTGATTTTAATGCAAGCCTTTTCTTTCACTCTAAAGCTGAACTCCCAGGCAAATAACTAAATAAACAGATGAATAATATATAGTGGAGCCATTTTACATGCCAAATGTTTTGCATTATTGTCCATTTAGTCCACATGACACTATTGTTACATTTTATGGAATACAGTAGTGACACCTCCCTGCCTTCTTGATTGGACAGTGAAGGAATTAATTAATGAGGTTAAATCTCTGTTAACTTTGCTTTCTCCTCCTGGCAGCTTGTTCTTTATCAATAGATTGGCATGGTGCACACCTGGTGCTGAACCTGTTTTGAATGCTGCTGTACATCAGATTGCAAAATGAATAAAATTAAAGTGCTAAAGGCAAAAGGTCTTTTACCTTCATGCATTCTATGCATGAAGGTAAAAAATCTTCTAGGGTCAGCTCCCCCCAAGCACCCCCAATACTTACCCAAGCCCCATCTCGATCCAGTGATGTGCATGAGAGCCGGGTCTCTCCCGGGTCCTTCTTTCCTCATTAGCTCCCACAACAGCGGGAGGAGCAATTGGCTCCTGCTACTTTCAATCACAACCAGTGAGCCAGTGAGGCGGGACTTGGGGGTTGGGCCGAGCCACACTCTTATGTGTGAATGGACAGTGTCCATTCACAAAAGCATGGCTCGGGAGCGGGTTTGCATCAGTGACCCAATAGCAAGAGGTTTGCTATTGGGGGAACTCGGCAGGGGGGAGGAGCCAGGACCGCCAGCAGGGGCTGGTCTATGCAAAACCATTGCAAAAAGCAGGTAAGTATAACATCTTTGATATAAAAAAAAAAATTCAACCTTTAGAATCCCTTTAAGTCAAATCCATGTGCAAGTTTCATTTACAAAATATATGTACCATTTTTATAAATGAATGTATAATTTTTTTTCCTGGTGACATCTTTAACACTTGCACATGGAGATAAGCACATGCCCATTCCGGTGGAATAGGTAAATGTCCAATTTAGACATTTCTATAAGTCCCTTTTGAGCACTAATTAAAAATGGATATTGAATCTTTCAGTATATTATCCATATCAAACTTAGTCCTATCACACCTCTAAGTTAACCTAGTGTTTCTTAGTCTAGGACCTCAGGAGAGCCTGACGGTCATAGCTGGTTGGGTTAATTAGCAACATCTCAAAAGAAGCAAACTGAAGATTATGCCTGAATTTTATCTGTTGTGAAGAGCTGGAAAACATGGCCTTTTTACAGACCCTGAATATTGCTTTGGGAAAGGCTGAGTTAATGTATATGTGTTTCTGTAATAGTTTAGGTTTTATAACTTTATAATCCATACTACTGTTTGTCTTTTATAACTAAACTGCCCTATAAACCTAATGGCATGTGCACAATTTAGTTGCCCTGCTGTTTTCTAGTTTAATGACTTTTTGGAATGTCGGTTGTTGTGTACCTTGTTACATACATTACACTTCTGCAGTTGTTTATTTATCATAGGTTATTATACTGTATGTAAGCCATGAAAAATATAAAATTGCATTAATTTAAAGGGAGATCACACTGTAATGTAATAGTGGGCTTCTGTTTCACAACCACTTCTGTAATAAAGAAGATTTTTTTTGTAAACATGTACTTGCAATATTGATATATTAATTGAATGTGTGTTGTAATATATTGGAATCCAATTTTGCATCTCAACCTACAGTTTGCATTTCTAAGTTGTACTCTATAGCAGGACTCATTCCCACTGTTTTACATTTTCTCTGCAGCTTTATACTGCAGATTTGGACAGACAAATTATAAAACTTTTATCTGCATTAAGCCTTGGTTCACACTGGATCCGAGTTGAAGTTGCACGATTTCAAAATTTCATGTCAGTGCGACTTCAGGCATAGATGTCTATGCAAGTTGCACCTGAAATCACAAAAAGTAGTGCAGGAACTACTATTGAAATTGGTGCAAAATTAGAACGGTTTGATTGCGGACAATACGGTGCGACTTGTCATGCGATTTGAAACTGTCAAATCACATGACAAGTAGCACCAGTGTGAACCAAGGCTGACAGTAGAAAATACATTGTATTACCTTCAAAGGATAGCACTTTATTAATCAATGTGGCAAAGCTTATTTTGATTATTGTATTTTTAAGGTTGAAAGGGTTTGTGTTCCTTTATCCACATTTGATTTGGTCAGTGAAAGTAAATGAGTCAGTAATTGGTGACGTTCTATGTTACTGTAGTGAGTAACATATTCTACGTCTGGAATGAGTTTGTCCAGATATAATGTAGGAATAATTATGTATTTTAAGTCTGAATATTGTCTTTCTCTCGCTCTTTAGTTATTGTGTCATCAAGATCAGAATGTACAGAAAGTTGCACTGGATTGTGTGCTGAGCTACAAACACCCCCATATACTTCCCTATAAGTAATTACCTTTTTTTACTTTATTAGTTGTATGGTAAATTTCAACAAATTGTTTCTGTTGCTTTAAAGAAATGTATATTGAGATAAATGTAGTGGCTGCCTTGGCTAACCTCCTTCTAAGAATACTAGTTGGCCTTCTCTGGCATTGATATTTTCGGTTTCACTGACCCAGAACATAAAGGAAGATTAGAAATTCAGAGTGAAGTTAGAACTCCCAATCTGCAACGTGCTTCAGATATTATTGTGGCCATTGGATCAGGATGAGAGCCAGACTCCAATTTTCCTGTCCTTTTAAAGATCAGTTAAGATTGCTGTAGACATGAAGTGAAGATCTCATCCTCTCTTTCCATTGAAAGCTTGGTAAACTTATATACGCTGCTCAAAAAATTTAAAGAACACTTTGAAAACACATAAGATCTCAATGGGGAAAAATATCATGCTGGATATCTATACTGATATGGACTGGGTAATGTGTTAGGAACGTAAGGATGCCCCATTGTTTGAAGGAAATGAAAATTATCAGCCTACAGAGGACTGAATTCAAAGCCCCCCGAAAATCACAGTGAAAAATGTATGTAGCAGGCTAGTCCATTTTTGCTGAAATTTCATTGTAGCAACTCAAAATGGTAGTTTGTATGGCCCCCATGTGCTTGACACGATGGATGGTGTCCTGGGGTATTTCCTCCCAGTTCTGGACCAGGGCATCATTGAGCTCCTGGACAGTGTGAGGTGAAACCTTGCAGCATTGGATGGACAGAAACATGTTATCCCAGAGGTGTTCTATTGGATTTAGGGCAGGCGAGTGTGGAGTACATTCAATGGTATCAATTCCTTCATCCTCCAGAAACTGCCTGCATACTCTCGCCACATGAGGCTGGGCATTGTCGTGCACCAGGAGGAACTCGGAACCCACTGCACCAGCGTAGGGTCTGACAGTGGGTTCAAGGATTTCATCCTGATACCTAATGGCATTTAGGGTGCCATTGTCTAGCCTGTAGAGATCTGTGAGTCCCTCCATGGGTATGCCTCCTCAGACCATCACTGACCCACCACCAAACAAGTCATGCTACAAGAAGCATAACATTCTCCACAACTTCTCCGGACCCTTTCACGTCTGTCATATGTGCTCAGGGTGAACCTGCTCTCATCTGTGAAAAGCACAGGGCACCAATGGTGGACCTGCCAATTCTGGTGTTCAATGGTAAATGTCAATCGAGCTCTATGGTACCGGGCAATGAGCATAGGGCCTACTAGAGGATGTCGGGCCCTCAGGCCACCCTCATGAAGTGTGTTTCTGATTGTTTGGTCAGAGACATTCACACCAGTGGACTGCTGTAGGTCATTTTGTAGGGCTCTGGCAGTGCTCATCCTGTTCCTCCTTGCACAAAAGAGCAGACACCAGTCCTGCTGATGTGTTAAGGACCTTCTACGGCCCTCTCCAGCTCTCCTAGAGTAACTGCTTGTCTCCTGGGATCTCCTCCATTCTCTTGAGACTGTGCTGGCAGACACAGCAAACCTTCTGGCAATGGCACATAATGATGTGCTATCCTGAAGGAGTTTGACTGCCTGTGCAACCTCTGTAGGGTCAAAGTATCATCTCATGCTATCAGTAGTGACACTGACCCTAGCCAAATGTAAAACTAGTGAAAAACAGTCAGACAAGATGAGTAGGGAAAAAAACTGTCAGTGGCCTCCTCCTGTAAAACCATTCCTGTTTTGGGGGTCGTCTCATTGCTTCCCATCTAGTGCACCTGTTGTTAATTTCATTAACACCAAAGCAGCTGAAATTGATTAACAACTCCCTCTGCTACTTAACCGTCCAGATCAATATCCCAGGAGTTTAATTGACTTGATGCTATACTCTGATTAAAAAGTGTTCCTTTAATTTTTGAGCAGTTTTTTTTGTTTTATCATTCATCTGTGTCCCATTGAGAAAGCTTCACTTCTTGTACTCTAGACATAGTAGGAACTGAGGAGATATCACACCAAAGTAAGGAAAATTCTCTGCTTAGTTTATCAGAAACAAATGTCTCCATTGAAAGGTCTATGTTTTATTCCAGTTATGGAAAATGGAATTTCCCTTTTCATCAGAGTGACAGGGGTCCCCTAGACACAAAAAAATTTGGATTTAGATATACTTTAAGGGTGTCAGATATCCCTGAGGACTGAATATCATACTAATTTATTCTGTTTGTTTTCAACAATTTGTAGGGAAAATTTACAACGGCTTCTGGAAGACAAAAGCTTTAAGGAGGAAATTGTAAATTTCAGTATTTCAGAAGAGAATGCAATAGTAAAGCCAATGCACAGAAGTGATCTAATTCCTGTGCTTTTGAGGTATGTATTTAATAATTGCATGAAGAAACATAACCACCAGCTGTAGAAATGTCTTTATAATAGCCCTCAGGTTGCTAAAGTGTTCCCTGCAATTCTGGATGGACTAATGATGCTAGTGAATGAATCAGTGGTAGACAATGCCATTAGTATGCTTGATGCTGTTGCTATTTGAATGGAATGCAATGCGGTTTGGCAGTCTGGTTCCACTACCAATAACCCCATAATAATATTATTGGTGCCAATAACAAGATGGGTATCAATAACTGGGTAAAATATATCTAGAATACATGCTAGTCTGGTACTTTTGAAAAACGGTATCCATTTACAAACCTGTTTTGAGTAATCAGGGGTGTTTATATACTTTGTTACATGAAGACTTTAGAAATGCTTTTAGCTGTATCCAAAAATCATAATTACTGTATAAGCACAATTGGCACTGGAAAATTGTGTTGTAACTGTAAATGTTTTTGGTTTAATGTGTTTTACATTTTTTTAAGAATATTGTATGGCCGCATGAGAAGCAAAACTGGCAGTAAAACACAAGGCAGGTCAGCTGCAGGAACTCGTATGTCTATAGTTCTTCGATTCATAGCAGGCTCGCTGCCTGATGAGATCCGAATGTTCCTAGATCTTCTGTATGAGCCAGTGAAGCATCTAAAGGATGGTATGTTATTCTGTAATTAATACTCATTTGGTGCATATGCGCTTCTATTTCTCAAGTCAGATAAAAGTCAACCAACAAGATGACGTTTCAAATGTTTATAGGTGTAGCTGAACTCTGGGTATAAAAAATTCATTTAAATATATTCCTCAATAACCATGAAGAAAATAAATCCAATTTGTGTGAACTAAATGCCTTTGCTAACCCAATTATTAGCTTGTAAAAGAAGTGCCGATTCCATCACCGTGCTGCATATAGCCTGTGCAGAGAGCAGAACTGTAGTGGGGGGACTTGGCAGGTCCACTCATTACAGTCACCTTGCACAAGATGAGAGAACAACATTTTTGGATCACTGGTCAGGTCTGAAAGAAATACACAAAACGCACCAAGATTAAAGTAAGAGTACACATGCTTCTTGTATTTAGACAATAATTTGTTTACCCTAGAGTTCAGCTTTAAGCTAGCTATTCAGCTGCAATCAGTTTCTATAAATAGCTGAATGTTAATACGAATTGGTTGTATAATTATCTGGCCGATATTCTGTCCAACTTACAAACAAGTAGGTGGTTTAACAAACTATAGACTTCATAGGATTGTGTTAGCAGTAATAGGACCCTGAGCCTGGGTTCACATTTCTGCGGTGCAGCATATCGCATGTGATTCGCACAGGAACCGCACCGCATTCCTGTACAAATCACATGTGAATTCTGTGCGGTGCAATTTGAGCCATACATTTTGTATGGCTCAAATTGCACCGCATCCGCACCAAAAAGGTGCAGAACTCTACGCCCCCTTTACATTCTATGTAATTTAACTACTCTGCACCCTTAATGTTCTGTATAATTTGACTACTCCAAGGGTCAATTCCCTAGCAAAGCCCCCTTCCTCCTTGCATCTCATGGCCCTCTCCTCCTCTGGAGTGTCTAATTATTTTCTGTGCCAGAGGAGTAGCAAAGAGGAATACCAGGATGTTGCTTGACTGATAGCTCTGAATCTGCTTAGAGTACATCCTATATTTTGGCTCCCAGCAGCAGTCTTATGACTTTTGAAATTCTACACAAGGGAGGCTTTAACAGCTAAATAACATACTTTATATAAAATATGTCAAATGCACATATCTTATGGGAAGATCATTGTTGAAATTAATGGTCAGGGGACAGGGTCTCTTTAAATGGTCACATGCCTGGATGCCTTTTATTCTATTACTGAGCAGTTTATTGGTATATTAGTTTTTAAAAGCCTATTGGTATGTTTGCTCTAATTATTTCTATTTGCGTGACAAAAGTGCAACCTTGTCTAAATACAGCTTTTGCATGGCCAGTCTTTATGTGCATGCTCTAGGTTTTTTAAGTATCCTCCAAAGCACTTGCTGAACCAGGAAACGTGATGGCAGATTATATGTGTTTTTTTAAGAAACCCAGTGGATAATGTGTACTATCAAAGTGTTTTTGTACATAGAAGTCCTGTTTCCTTCCAGAGAGGCTTACTTGCTAAAATTTCAAGAATGTTGTAAGGCAATTGTTAGAGTATTCAGGCAGAATTCATGTCTCTTTTTCGGGAACATTTTTGCATTAATTCAATAATTATTGTGTTATCCAGTACTATTCCAGTTTCTAATTGCCATTCATTTAACAGGTGATTGCTATACTTCAGTGCGACAGGCTGTGGAACAAGTAGACCTCTCAAAAGTCCTGCCCCTGGGGCGCCAGCATGCCTTGCTCAACAGTTTGGAAGTTGTTTTGAAAAACCTTGGTAATCTTATCAGCCCCTACTTACCTGAGGTGCTCCAGATTTTACTCTGCATGACTGCTGCTGTGTCACAGATTCTAGAACAGAAAGAAAAGGTAATCTGCTGACAGTTACTGGATTTTCTGTTATTCCATATCTCAATAATGCTGTCAAACCTGTAAAGAAAATGTTAGTAAAACAGATTGTTGATGTATGAAGACGTAATACAAGAAAAAAAAAAAAAAAAAAATATATATATATATATATATATACTTATTTGAAAAGGTCTAGGTCTAGAAGTGACCTTTTTTTGTTGATAATTGGCTACATTTATATTTTTGAGAGACCATTTGTACAGGTTACCAGAGCTAACATTTTGTACTCAAAGCAGAGGTAAACCCTCCTATCCTTTTCAGCCAAGGAAGCTGCACGTGGTCAGTTTATCACACCAGACATTTGATGGTTTGACAGTTTTTGGTTGGCAGCACAAGCAAATGTGATAGCATTTCTGGCATGCCAGCAATTAAACGTTTTTTTGGCAACTGAAATCGTTAGGTTTAGTTCCACTCCAAATATGAAGAATAAAAAAATCTACTAACTTTGTAAGAATAACTGTTACCCCCAGTCACAATCAAAGTCGAAACCGCACCGATATGACCGCTCTAATAGCGGACAATAGGTTGCAACTTGGCATACGGATTTGCAAGTCGCAGTGCATGCAAATCACATGCCAAGTCGTACCCAATGTGACTGGGGGCTTAAAATTGTTTTGTGGCCTATGCTCACACCTTAGTTACAGAATACTGATGGAAATTGATGCACAGACTTGCAGAGACATCAGTTTGCATCAGTTTTCATTCATGCTTCAAAGAGTTTTATACATGTTGCAGATTTCTGCGCAGAAAAAATCTGCATGTGTGATACCAGTATTGTGGTGTGAACAATAGAGAACAATCGATTTTTTTTTTTTTTTTTTTGTGCCCGTGCAGAAACACTGACATCTCTGCACCATGGTGTGAAGGAGCCCTGATATTTTTTTACCTTCATGTATTCTAAGCATGAAGGTAAAAAACATTCAGTGTGCAGCTCCCCCTCAGACCCCCAATACTTACCTGAGCCCGATCTTGTTCCAGTGATGTGCATGGGAGCAGCGGTTCTCCTGGGTCTCTCTCTCCTCATTGGCTGAGACACAGCAGCAGGAGCCATTGGCTCCCGCAGTTGTCAATCACAGCCAGTAAGGAGGGAGCCACAGGCGGGATTGAGCCATGCTCTGTGTGTCCCATAGACACACAGAGGTGGCTCAGAAGCAAGCATGCACGAATGCCACCAGAGCAAGCAGCTTGCTCTGGGGTCACTCGGTAACTGGGAGGGGCCAGAAGCTCTGGTGGGGGACCCAAGAAGAGGAGGATTGGGTCTGCTTTGTGTAAAATCATTGCACAGAGCAGGTAAGTATGACATGTTTATTATTTTAAAGAAGAAAAAAAATTAACTTTTGGAATCACTTTAAGCTGGTACACACTATAAGAAAACCAGAAGGAAAATTGCATGCGAGGAATAATTGGTCAATTATCTGATCGTTAGTGTATGTTTTCGACAGCTGATTTCGACTGTTTGGATGGGGAAAAAAAAAAAACGAAGGTGTAAGCTAGAAAGAGTTTATTGTATGTGAACACAACGTCTGATTTTTGCTCAATATGTACAGTAATCAAATAGAAAAAAATGCGTATGATCAGAAGCAAAGAACGACTCAGAAGAAGGTGACAACAAACATAAAAATCCTATACAAGAACAAACGTTTGTCTTTTAAGAATTTTCATACAAGTTACCATTGTCAGTTACATCATGATATGCACCTTCATGGAAAATCAGATTAGAGTTCGTTCAGTTTTCTCATAGTGTGTACCCCACTTCAGACTAAATTAGCAATTCACACCTCTTGGATCTTTATCTGATTTGGTACTACTAGCATGTATACAAATTTTACAGATTCACCCTTTCAGCTGTGTTTCTAAAAAGGTATAGCAGAGTCAGCAATTGCATACATTGAAAGCTTTGGATACCAATGGGGGAGAGGAGTAATGAAGAGGAAGGGACAATTCTAATATCCAGCCTTAAAATCCAGTATAGTTTTTTCTTGCTCAAGATAGATAAGTGGTCTCCCTCACTAACAGGCTTATTTACTCGAGTAAGTCACCATAATGGGAAATCTACAAATTGTTTCTCTACAGTAGTCTTTTTTTCAGTTTTAATATTCGAAAGGTGTTCCCTAACACAGTCCCATAACCTCATGTAGTTTCTTCCCACATACTGCTTACAACAGACAGTACGTGAGATAATATATTCTACATATTTTGTTTGACAATTCCCAACTTGTCTACTTGTAATGGTTTGACCATTTGAGTATGACTTAACCATGGAGGGTCTCCCATATAAAACACAGATATAGCAATAGGAGTCACCACATCTGTACAGTCTCATGGTGCTTAGCCATGTGTTGGTTTTTGATGTGAGAAAAACAAGCTAAGAGATATTTTGTTGCTTATGGTGGGCGCTTTTTTGGCCACAAACTGAACACCGAATGATAAGGCCTTACTCAAGCTATCATCTCCATATAGGATGGGCAAATACCTACATATGACACATTTAATGTCATCGAATTTGAGACTCTACTGAGTAGAATACACAACTTGTTGTTTTTTTTTTTTGTTTCAACAAACTTGTTTTAACTTCGTGCTCCTTTTTCTTTTAAGAACGTTTCTCATGTAATAGTTTTAGCTTGGGGACAGGCATCCTTAATAACCTTACGACTGTAACTGCGTTGTAAGAACATCTTCTCCATTGTAACTGCTTCCTTTTCAAATCCCTCTAGGGTGGAACAGTTAGGGGCCCTGATAAATTGATCCTTAGGCATGACTCAGATCACATTCTCTGGATGGCATCTGTTTGAATTTCCAGTCCCTGGAAATTGGCTTCCTATATTCTTGTATGTGTACTCTCTGCTTTCCAATTGAGACACATAATGTTATATTTAAATAGGTAATGTGTGACTGCTGTTCTTTTTTATCCCCAGTAAATCTGAGGTTTTATTCATTCCTATTTAGATATTCTAAAAATGTTCCTACGTGCAGATCTTTTTTTTTTTTTAACTTTAAACAAAAGGTGAGCAAAGAAGCTTATCTTATCCCTCATGGGTTCATATCCAAAGATGTGGTGCACCTTCCCACCAGGCCATGTATAGGTTGGCATAATTGGGCGCAAAGTAGTAATACATTTAGTTTGTGTGTGTTTTTTTTTTTTTTTTTTTTGTAATCGGTGCTCTTCAGACCTTGTTACATGTTGACATAAACTTTCTAAACATTATTATAAACAATTTTACTTTGTACTGCATGTAATTTCCACTTGCTGAGTTGTTTTTACTTATTTTTACAGTGGGTTTTCAGAGTCAGTAACTCTTAGATATGCATGTCAATTGCTGAGTTTAATTTATCGCTTCATTAAACTCCAAGGTGTTAAAAAGTTCAATAAGTTAAGTGGCACCTGCTTCTTTCTGGATAATGATTACGAAGCTGTAAATGAATCACTTTGGAAAAATGCTGGCATAACTGAACTGAGGCTGCTACGGCAAGATCAGCTTGGAAAAAAGTACAATTTGGTTAAAATTCCACATATCCCAAGGCTGTGCTCTTTCAGGCTCTGGGAAACTAAAGTATCATATTTTAAACTTTGTGTTTGTGACTTTAGTGCTAGAACTGATTTACAGCAGTGAAGCCTTTTAAAATTCATGACTCAGTAGAGGGATCAAAGGTTTGGCTATTTGATCAGAAGCATGTGCTGATATGCTAGAGCTGCTATTATACCATTTTAAAATAAAATGGTAATCCTTTTATAGCTTTTAACTTGTACTGGAATTCCTATAATAGTTCTACAACCTTAATTTTGTTGTACACAAAGGAAGTCTTTGAAAACTTGCATTTTTTTTTTCTACAAAGAAAAGCACTATAAAGCACCACACTCAGCTATTGCCCATCAGGTTGAGTTATCAGATTCAAACATACATGTTTTGTCAAATCCTGAAAGGTATTGATGTTCATGGAATTATGGAATTGAAGTGTATTAAACAATATAAATAAAATAGAAAGTCCCTTTAAACCACTGGTTTTCAAAGTGGGTGACACTGCCCTCTGGGGGATGATTGAATGTTCTAGGAGGGCGGTACTAGTCTTGGGTGCAATTGGGGGGCAATGAATAAAAATATGGGGGGCATGTACATGTTGTATGTTGTGTAACATAGAGTTACAGTTGTAGTCCTTACTTTATTTTCTAAATAAATACTCAAAATGCAAGTTATAACCGATCAGTGGCTGACAGGTCTTAAAGCCCAACTCCTGGCAAAAAAAATTGCTCTTGCATTGGGGCTGTGCCTGCTCTGCAGGGATTAAGTGCACTTTTTGTTCATGGGAGAGGAGAAATCTTTATACTTACCTGAACCTGCATTCCCCCGGTAAACAGCGCTGCCCCAAGATCCAGCAGTGGACTGTTCCTGGCATTCTCACCTTGCTCTGGGCTTGATTACGTCAGGACTCAAGAGCGCTAGATTACAGGGTGCAGGAGCTACAGGGACTAGTCGTGTGTGGAGAGGTGTGGAGGATTGAACTATATCGGCTTTCATCTTTCCCCTAGAACAGGGATCTCCAAACTTTTTAAACAAAGGGCCACTTTACTGTCCTTCAGACTTTAGAGGGGCCATACTGTGGCCTTCAGGAGCAGGAAATGTTGCAGCATCAGTTGGAGTAAACAATGTCCCATTGTTGGTGTCATTGGGAGGAATTGTGCCCCATCATTGATGTCATTGGTAGGAATAGTGTCCTATCATTGGTCTCATTGGTAGGAATAGTGTCCCATCACTGGTGTGATTGGGAGGAATTGTTCCCTATCGTTGATGTCATTGGGAGGAATAGTGCACCATTATCGGTGTGAATAGTGCCCCATTAGTGGTGTCATTGGTAGGAATTGTGCCCTATCATTAGTGTCATTGGGCCACATTGTTGGTGTCATTGGCAGGAACTGTGCCCAGTTGTTGGTGTTAGTGAATGAAATAGTTCCCCAAGGGCCTGATAGAGGCAAGCAAAGTGCCATATCCAGCCCCCGGGCCGCAGTTTGTAGACCACTGCCCTAGAACATAGGTAGAAGTATAGATACATAAAAAATGCTAATTTGTCATTGCTTTTTTTTGCTTGTTTGCTTAAAGAAGGTAATTTCCAGGGGACCGCTGAGTAATAGGTGGGGTAGGCCAAAGAAGAACCTCTGCTTTAAACAATATAGATCAGTGTTCAAGAAGAACTTGAGAAAGTAACGTTGGGTACAGATGGGTCAAAATTTGTCTGGTTCAGCAGGTACCTCCCAATTATTGATCTGTGTGTGGGCCTCCCTGTTCTAACCATTGACTTCTTTTGAATAATCACGGTGGAAAACTTTAATTGGTCTGCAGCTGAAGCCACTGATTAGTGTATTCTGATTTCCACTGTCAGAGTACAATGTCCTGTTTGTGTGAATGGGGAATCTGTTTGTTTTTTTTTGTTGTTTATTGTTCAGCTTGCCAGATGGCCGAGGAAACATCAACTCGCTATGCCCAGCCGAAGTCTTGATGCATTGATTGCATGCTTAGTAAAGAAAATTATTCACTTTTTTTTATGTCCAGCATCCTGTCTGTACTGCTTCCGGCATCCAAGGATATGATCATTTCTGTCAAACATTCTGCATAGTAGATATTTCTCAAATTCTTACAGAACTGTTTTGTTAAATTTGGACGGTATACTCCATGTTTATTTGAGGCTGTATTGATTTATACTCTGATCATTCATATTGTGCAGGGATAGTTTTACTTACTAAACTGTTTTATCTCTTTAAACAGATTCAGTTAAAATGTATAAATCCATTAAAGCATCTGAGGCGCCTGGGAATGAAACGTATAGTGGACTTTTTCACTGACTTTGAGACATACCCCTATTCTGCTGAAGAAATTGATGCTTTATTTGTTGCTGTCATCTGGCCACAGGTACAGAAAATCATAAGTTGCTGTTTTGTGTTCTTATATTGGAAACACTTTTTATTTTTAACTAACTGAACCTATAATGATACCTAACTGCCTCCATCAAGTAATGTTTCCGTTTTCTTTTATAGTACTGAATTGTTTAAAAAGTCTTACTTTTGATTGTGTTTCTCTAGTTACCAATTTCAAACAGGTAAAGTCTAGTTAGAAAGCAGAGGAAAACGACCTTATTTTCTATATTACAGATCGTCAGATTGGCTTTTGAAAGTCAACATTCTCCTTCACTTGTGTTAAAGCTTATCCATACTTGGAGTCAAAATGCTAGGTAATTTTGCATTTAACTCACCTACTATATATCATTACTGATTTTGTAATTAATGCATGTTAAAATATGAAAAATAATTCCTTCTTGTGTCTATAACAATTTGTTAGTAATGTTAGATCATTGGATGTGGTTTTCTTTGTTTACAGATATTTTCCTTTACTTGCTAAACAAAAATCTGGACATCCAGAATATGATGTCTTGGTTAATACATTTGCCCTTCTTGCCAAAAAGGGTTTATCTGAGTCAACAGCAAGTATTGTTATAGATGTAGCTGCTAATCTGCTCAACACTCTGGACTATGAAGAGTCAGAAAGTCTTTCCTCCTTATTGGTAAATGATTGTGTTATTGCTGATGCCCCTAATAATAATGAAGGTAAGAGGAAGCAAAAAGGTTGTTTTCACTGAGCATTTACTGTAACGTTTTTATGTTAATATATTCCTCCTTGATGACTTTCAGAGTCTCCAAGCATTGGTGTGAAGCTGGTTTCAGCACATGTCCCTGCAATTCTCCAGTATCTGAGTAAAAGCATGTTGAATTCAGAAAAGATGCGCAAGAAGAAATATAGTGCCCAAGTTAGCAAGGAACTCAATATTCTTTCAAAGTAAGTCAGCGTTCTGTTCTACAGTTCTGACAAATAAAAATTTGATAGCAAAGTTGTTTTTTTTTTTTTTTTAAATAAATGACTACAAAAATCCACATTTACCCAAACCAAGCTTGTCAAAAATTGATAAGCGAACATCTCTCAATTCAGTGTCACTAAATTCAATGTGCTTAGCACAGGTATTATTTAAAGAGGTAATAAACTCCACTTTGTGACTTTTACTTACAGGTAAACTTTTAATAAAGCTTACCTGTAGGTAACGTGAATGTTTCCTAAGCGAGATATTTGCTTGTTGGCAGCCAGCGACGTCACCAGAAAATGCGCTCTGAAGGAATGGCATGTGCCGTGGCCATGACTCTTTTGCACATGCATGGGAGTGACATTGTCGCGGTTTGGCCAATCAAACTGCTGGAGCCCACGAACCCGGAAAGAAGACTGGGTGAAGCTGGAAGCCCAGCAGTGACAGCGCACCGCTGGAGGGCTTCGTTTTAAGGTAAGTTTGACATAGTGTGCTAGTATGCAATGCATACTGGCACATTATGATATTACCTTGCAGAGGGACCAGACTTTTTTTTTTATAATGATTACTACCGCTTTAATGGACATTATTACTGGAAAACCTTCACAAGAAAAAAATAGTATTCCTTTTTATCATTTTTAAACATATGTGTTCATTCTTCTTGGTTTTCAGGATTAGCAAGTTTATTCAGGACAAAGAACAGAGTAATGTACTCATTGGGCTACTTATATCCTATTTACATAAGAGTAACATCGCTGAGGTAAGAATTACTTTATTTGTTTAAATCCTATGAGTTGGTATCACACAAGGCTCATTTTACTCTTAAGCTTTCTATAGACTATATTCAGTGGTTTTTGGTCAGCAAACAGCCCAGTTACACACAATCCGTTTTGATCAGTGTTTGTAGAATGGGTACAACATAATTAATCAATAAAATGCAGCTTTGCTTCATAGGGATTTAATTTTTATGTCAGCCTGTGGACTGATGTTGCTGATCTCCTGAGGATGTTAATTGCCTGGCTGTCTCTGGCTTCAGTAACCGCTTTTCACTTCAGTCCAATATGCAGATTAAAAAGTCAAGTCAGAAGTCCTTATCTGCATACTTGTTGCAAATCAGTGCTTCAGAAAATGTTGAGTACATTAGAACAGGACGACATTCGGGCAACTAGAATTATCAGCAACATAGGTCAGCAATGATTTTCAATTGGGTCAGCAATGTTTCCGTATTAATTTGTGTCCGGTTTCAGTTAAGCACAGCAATCATGCATAGGTGTACAGTTGTGTTCAAAATAATAGCAGTGTGTTGAAAAAAGTGAATAAAGCTCAAAATCCTTCTAATAGCTTTTATTTCCATACACACAAATGCATTGGGAACACTACACATTCTATTCCAAATAGAAACACGAAGAAAAATGTATCAAATTTGTGTTGTTCCTCTAAAAAAAAATTTGAAGTGAATATTAGACTGTTCAAAAAAATAGCAGTGTTTGTATTCTTCTTTACAAACTCAAACATTCACTATATAAACTGAAAAAATATTTGAAGATTTTGCTTTCCTTTGAATCACTTAATGAATATTTAGTTGTATAAGCACTGTTTCTGAGAACCGCTGTACATCTGTGTTGCATGGAGTCAACCAACTTCTGGCACCTGTGAACAGGTATTCCAGCCCAGGATGATTGGACTACATTCCACAGTTCTCTATTTCTTGGTTTTTGCCTCAGAAACTGCATTTTTGATGTCACCCCACAAGTTTTCTATTGGATTAAGATCCGGGGATTGAGCTGGCCACTCCATAACGTCAATCTTGTTGGTCTGGAACCAAGATGTTGCACGTTTACTGGTGTGTTTGGGGTCGTTGTCTTGTTGGAACACCCATTTCAAGGGCATTTCCTCTTCAGCATAAGGCAGCATGACCTCTTCAAGTATTCTGATGTTTTTCAAACTGATCCATGATCCCTGGTATGCGATAAATAGGCCCCAACACCGTAGTATGAGAAACATCCCCATATCATGATGCTTGCGCAACCATGCTTCACTGTCTTCACAGTGTACTGTGGCTTGAATTCATTGTTTGGGGGTCGTCTGACAAACTGTCTCCGGCCACTAGACCCAAAAAGAACAATCTTACTTTCATCAGTCCACAAAATGTTGCGTCATTTCTCTTTAGGCCAGTCAATGTGCTCTTTGGCAAATTGTAACCTCTTCAGCACGTCTTTTTTTCAACAGTGGGACTTTGCGGGGGCTTCTTGCAGATAGCTTGGCTTCACATAGGCGTCTTCTAATTGTAACAGTACTCACAGGTAACTTTTAGACCTTCTTATATCTTCCTGGAGCTGATTGTTGGCTGAGTCCTTGCCATTTTGGCTATTCTTCTATCCATTTGAATGGTAGTTTTTCGCTTTCTTCCACGTCTTTCAGGTTTTGGTTGCCATTTTAAAGCATTTGTGATCATTTTAGCTGAGCAGCCTATCATTTTCTTCACTTCTTTATATGGTTTCCCCTCTCCAATCAACTTTTTAATCAAGGTACGCTGTTCTTCTGAACAATGTCTGGAACGACCCATTTTCCTCAGAATTTCAGAGAGAAATGCACTGTAACCAGCATGTACAACATTTGCTGCCTTCCTTCCATAAATAAGGGCAATAGTTGCCACCTGTTTATCAAAGAATGAATGACCTCACTAATAGAACTCCACACTGCTATTATTTTGAACATGCCCCTCTCAATTAGTGATTCAATTACACAGAATCAGCAGCATGCATGTCATGACTGTTGGGTCTGTTGGATTTCTATTACTCTACTACACCTGCTAGTAAATTATTTGCCATGTAGAAATATCATTTCTACCAAAAACAGTGATTGATCAGGTTAGTGATGTCTGACTGCTATTATTTTGAACACAACTGTATGTTTTACAAAGTATGAAAATACTAAGCTACATAAAAAAGTTGTAAGATTTAATTCTTTGATATTTTTATTATAGGACACAGAGGTTGACATTTTAGAAACAGTACAAAATCTACTCAGACAGTCTGTGAATCCTACAAGTTTCTTGAAGCCATTGGGCAAATTATTTGCTGTAATCCAGAACAAGCTTTCCCGGCAGACACTTTGCACAACATTTCAGGTACAATATGGGTTTAATCTCAATACAGTCACTTTCACACATGTCGCTGTACTGCTATTAATGTTATTTTGTTTGTTTCAGGTCTTGTCAGAGTTAGCTCCTGAGCTAGAATATATCACTGATGTTGCTGTTAAGGTTTGTGATATTTTATTATTTTTGGCCCTTCTCTTAATTTAGGCAAAGCAAACTTTGATCATCTTGTGTTTTTTTCCCACAGTTAAATGCATTTGATCGAAGGCATTTGGATGATATCCACTTTGATGTGCGACTGACAGCTTTCCAAAAAGCAGCTTCTTTATTAAAGATATGAAGACAGTTGATATGAACTATATTCTTCCACTTATGTACAACTGTTTTCTACACCATCCTTGTGAGTGTCTAATATTTAACTATATTATGTTTATCATCTATTTATAGCTCCGATAATTCATTATGCATACCCCCTTAAATGTTCTTTTTAAAAGCAAGTCTATGCAAGCTCTGTCCTAAATAGACTTTACCAAATATCTTACATTAATAGGACATCTAAGTCCTACTGTTCCAATTAATATGTATAGTCATGCAGGTAGTATATCAATAAAAAATACTACATGCTTTGAGTAGAAATGCTTAAAATAAAATATTACAACATGAAGGCATATTTTTTCCTTTGTTATGCATTTATGTGACAATTTCACTCTGTACTGTCATAGCCAGAACTTATTTACTATGTCACTAGGGATATTTATCAGTTTATTTGAGTTTGTGCAACTTCACTAAAATGTTTGTCATAGATCATAATGTATTCTGTGTTGCAAGTATGACAATTTAACAAAATGAAAATGTTTTTTTATTGCAGCTTGGTGATATGTCCTTATGTGACAATGCAAGTCTGTGTCTCACTAGTATTATGAAGCTTCTGGCAACAGTGAAACACACTGAGGCAGAATATCGTGAGATTATACAACGTACCTTGCTAGAAAGCATGAAAAGTGGGCTCAGAAGTAAAATGGAGGTATGGTAAAGCAAAAGAGACATTTTAAATACTGCTACCCTAGTAAAGTAAAATTGCATGTTTTCAAGTGGACCTAAACTTGTAAAGTAAAATTTACTGTTTTAAAGGGAACATTAGGTATGTTACTTTTTTCAGAACACTGAAAAAATCTTTTGTCTTTCGTTACTCTTGAAAAAAAGAGCACTCTTCTCTTTGCTGGAGGCTTTAAAATGAGGATGTAAAACCTTACTTCTACCAAGATGGCTGCCTCCACACAGAGACACAATGCAGTACAAAGCATAATAAGACAGTAGTGTGGAAAAGATAAGCTGCAAGGGGGGCACAGGCAATAATGGTTTTGGGCACAGCTCCTAGAGTTCAGTTCCTCTTTAAATATATGCTTGTAAATGAGCTTGTTAATGTTCAGCAATGCATTTTAAATGTAGATATACAGTATTAGCATGACATTATAGACCCATAAGCTAAGCTAAGGCATTACCTTAAAGCAGAGGAGTTTATCTTGTGGTTTTGGATTCCAAAATTGATTTATAGGGATACAGGAAGTTGCATAATTTTTTGAATTACTATATTTTTTGTAATTCATCGGTGGGATGAGTTTCAGCTAAACTATGTCTAAGTGTAACTATATTAGAAGTCAGAACATTAATTCTAAGCCTAAATAGATGCAAAGCTGAAGATTTATTTTATATTGGCTTTTTGTTAATAGACCGAACCTTAAATTGATATTTACTCAGTCTGAAACTTTAAAAGCAAGCCGCCTTCTTAAGGACAAACTCTACAAGATGCCTACTGTTGCCTTTATTACACAGAAAATTCTATTCTGTGCCCTACATTTTACATTGTTACTGGTGCTTGACTTTCCCCTACATCACGGGTGTCAAACTGGTGGCCCTCCAGCTGTTGCCAAACTACAAGTCCAATGAGGCAATGAGGATTGACAGTTACAAGCATGACTCCCAAAGGCAGAGGCATGATGGAACTTGTAGTTTTGCAACAGCTAGAGGGCCGCCAGTTTGACACCCCTGCTTTACATGATAGTTAAGTTCCACCAAATGCCTCCTCTTTATCCACCCAATGAGATTACCTTTGCTGACACTTTCATTGGACGATAGCCAACTACCAGGAAAATTCCTGCTGACTCCTGGTTTAGACATACTGGCTACTGAATTGCATACTATTTTTTTTTGTCCATTCCTGTGTAAATGGATTTTGCCTGCTTCTCTTTATTTACAGAGTGTTCAGCAAGACTATACTACTTTACTTTCCAATTTGATACGGACCTTCCCAGACCATCCCGAGTTCTCAGACTTGGTTCAGCTCAAAGATTACAATGATCCTGAGATGGACTTCTTTGAGAACATGAAACACATCCAGGTAATTATAATTTATTGATGTATTTTCTGCAGTGGATGTGATCTCTGTGAAAGGAATACATACATACATAATGCCCAGCTATGGAAAGAGTAATGATTGTATGTTTATTTCTTTAGATTCACAGGAGAGCCAGGGCTTTGCGGAAATTAGCCAAACATATCACAGAAGGAAATATGGTGCTCTCTTCCAAATCCCTTCAGAATTATATTATGCCGTATGCCACCAGCACTATATTTGATGAAAAAATGCTCAAGGTAGGTTGCCTTGGATACTTGTACCCCAGATAATAGATACGTTTGTTGCCTTTCAAGTGGAACTCTAGAGGTATGGGCTGAATTTTATTTTTATTGTTTTTAGGTTGTATCGTTTTTATTCTATAATTTTATATCTGATTTTTATCATATATACTATATTTCTTTTAAAATTAAACAATTATGTGAATCATGCCTTTGGTCTGTTTCAGATAAACTTAATTTTTATGTCATTATGCTACCTGTCTTACGCAGCAAATGAAGTGTTATGTTGTAATGCTCTTTGTAATCCTTTTTCACAATTTATTGTGAGGAAAATAATGTCAATAAAAATATTGGAAACGAAAATGAAACTTAAAATTAAAAAGGATTTAACTTTGAATGGGAAACCTCCTACCTTCCCTACCATGGAGTACTAACTACTATTACTCTCTGTACAGAGGGAGTTATCCCTCTCTTTTTCAGAAACTGAAGTCATTACTCTATGTATGGGTAATATTTTTCGTCTTTCTTGGCTTGAACGAATTGATGTCATCAAGATGACATTGCTACTCCAATTACTATACCTCTTTTGAGGTCCTCCTGGTCTGTGTTTCTTCCCATATTGTGCCAGGTATCTAAAGGAAAATTAACTATTTTATCTAGGACAATGCAGGCCTAGACTTCCACATAGCACTCTGGGGTATATGTTTAAAGTTTGCTGAAAGAATGTGACCAACATCTGCACAGCTCTAACAAAACTTGTATTATGTTTAACATATATATCCTTTATAATCATAAGTGCCATCTAGTGCCATAATCCTTTTTTTCTTGATTTGAGGTATTTTAAAAAATTACCACTTTATGGATATTAGATAGAGGTTATGATCATAGATGGTAATTATATTACACAGTGTATGGCAAGTTTCTTTCAACCTGTGCAGAGGTCTGTCACATTTGTTCAGAGAACTTTTTATACATACACCTCTAAACGCCCTCTGGAGGCCTTGTCACTAGTAAAACCAAATATTTATTCCCACCCTAGTTGGCTCAACTCACCAAGTACCATGCCCTAATGAAGCCATTCTCGGTAGGACTCAAATCCATTAGATATTGACCCTCTAAGGATTATTTACTATGGCTCTTGCCAAGTGCAAGGGGTTAAACCTTTCATGACACATCAAGCAGAATACTATCTACCCCACTGCAAAATATTCTGTTACTTTTAAGTAAATCATAATATTACATACATTCTTAAAACCCAAACCAGTGCGACACTCACTAACTTTGCATTCAAAAGATTAAAATACCTGCACTCTCAAGGTATGATTTCTCTTATTTACACTATGTTACTTAACATGAGCTCCCCTCATTACCTACTTACACAACAAAAAGGAGCTGGGCACAACTATAGAAATGAAGGACTGGAATCATTGATAACGGACCACAAAATCATGCTTGAGTAATGCCTATGCCTTAGAAACACTACAAACGGGTTTCAAAACGATACCTACTCCCAACCCATGCATCTAAATTTATGCCAGAGGTTTCTACCACATGTTTTTGGGGAAGCAGCAAATCTGATACATTTACCATATTTGTTGGAGGCGGCACCATACCCCCCCCAAGTGTGTACTCCCAAAGAATAAACCTTTGGGAAGTACCTTGGACAGTGACTCATTCCAGTTATGTTGGGCTTATATTTTTTTTTTATGTTGCAGAAGAAGCTGGAAGCCTAAAATGAAGTGAAAGAGGTTGTAAAGGCTCAAAAGTTTTTACCTTCATACATTGTATGCATGAAAGTAAAAAACCACCTGTGTGTAGCAGAAGCCCCCCTAACCCTTACCTGAGCCCCATCCTGAGCCTTGGTTCTCTGGGGACTTCCACTCCTGATTGGCTGAGGCAGCAGTAGGAGCTATTGGCTTCCTCTGCTGTCAATCACAGCCAGTGAGCCAGTCAAGAGAGAGGGGGTCAGGGCCGAGGGCTCGGGAGCACACCTGCAAACTGCTTGCTATGGGGCATCCAAAAGGAGAGAGGGGCCAGAAGCAACTGCAGGGGACCTAAGAAGATGAGGATCCGGGCGGCTCTGTGCAAAACATTACACAGAGCAAGTAAGGATGACAAGTTTGTTTTTAAAAAAAAAAAAAAAAAAAAAAACAATACTTTAGTATCAGTTGAAGATTCATCTGCTGCATAATATTAATTCTAATATTTATTATTTACTGGGCTTAAAATAAGAAATGTATTTATTTTTTTGTTCCTGACCATAATAAAGGCAATATCAATTACATATTAATTGTGGTGCTAAACCTATGTCAAACCTTCTATGAAAATGTTCTCCCTTCCTTTTCAGCATGAAAATATGGTTAATGCATCAGTGGATATGATAGGATCAGTATGTAAACATCTCCCTTGGTCTGCCTACATGTATCAATTAAAACATTTCATTCATGTGCTTCAGACGGGGCAAGTTGATCAAAAACTGGGTGTCAGGTACAGTCGATAGTAAATTCTTATTTATTTTCCATGATAAATTGACTTTAAAATGTGTTTTCTGTGTTCTGCTGGTGCTGGAACCAAAAATAAGGGCATATGCTGCTTATATTTGTTCAACCAAACTGTTTTAACATTCCATGCATATATTGATACAAAAGATGTTAATACAGTATATATTAGATACGTATGTTTGCAGTTTGTCTTTAAATTACTCAGACATTTTCTTTGCATAAGTATAATAGTGTACAGCTTGCTTGTTTTGTAAAAGCTACTGTCTTTAAGGTAGAAGTAAAGTTTTTTTTTTTTTTTCATTTTGGATAGAGTTAGGGAGGATTATAACCGCTGTCAATTTTTTTTTATTTTGCCATCTTTGTTCTACTAGGGAGACTTTTCTTCACTTCCTGTCCTATAGCTAAGACCGGAAGTGAGAGGAAATCCCTCCATAGTTTTGTGAATCTCTGGTTATCAGCAGAACTAGTGCCCTTTTTGGAGGATTTTCCAGTTCTGGTGTCAACCCAGAATTTGTAATTCTCTTCCACATGCACTCCCAGTGATAACGGTAAACAGAACAAAAATAGGGTATGAAGTCTCCCTAATGGGGAAACCGCAATAAAAACCTGAAGTAGAGTCAGTCTAAGTGCACTATTACAAATTTAAGGGGACTGTTAGTTTAAACAAAACAAAAAATATCCTTTCTTGTTTTGGTGGTTCCTTGGTGTCAAATGGAAGGGCCCTAAACTACCACAGTACCCTGGTAACCAAAAATGGGACTGCTATGCTGCTTTTCTATCAACAGCTGTTGCTTTAGATAAACTCCTCTATGGCAGATTTCAGTCCTGGAAAACCTTTGTAGGTGTAGGCAAGGTGGATTCAGCTTTGTTACTTCACCGGTACCTGACCTATTTTAGGGTTCATTTGTCACATAATACATATAATCCGCTTACAGAAGTAGCTGTGGACCTTCATTCAGTTGTCTTAAAAAAAAAAAAAAGAGCACGTTGCTCTTGGCAATGAACAAGTACACATCTTTGGGAAGGTCAAATTAATGACATGTGCCCCTTAAGATGACTATCTTGAAGTAAAGCAAATTTTGGTATTAGGAAAAAAAAGATGTGTATAAGGAACATGTCAAATCAGAGACAAATTATGAATAAAAAAAAATGAATTATTTTTAGAGTGTTTGTAGTGTGTGAAGAGTATGAAATATCAGGTTCATTATTGTAAACAATGTCTACTACCACTGCGAGGTTTGAACTATATGGGCAATTTTAATTTCTTGTAGCTGAAAGAATATACCATTTCTTGAAAGCCACTTCATTTTCTGGATACTGAAATCAATGCACAGCTAACTGCATGGTAGCCAACACCTAGGTTAAATCTCTTTTCTGCAGGAGATTAAATTTGGCAATATAGTAATAGAATAAAACCACACTCTTTTTATATATGAAGTATTTTTTTTCGTGTTTGAATAGAATGCTGGTGACTGTGCTTGATGCCTTCCACTTTGATTATGCTATCCTGGAGAAGCAGCTTCAAGAAGCCAAGAATAGTGAAAGTGAGTAGACCAGTCTTTTATCCTATACAGATATCAGAGTAGCATGTAATAAGCAGTGCACATTGAGTCATCATCAATCTGGAAAATGGTAATGTCTGAAATGGTTTGTTTTTTGGACAATCCCACCATATATGAAAATAAGAGCCCAGAATGCCACATCCCCTCCAACATCTATCCAAGGCCGAAAGTTATGCTAGGGCCAGTGGTTCTTTTATCTTTTAATGGGCTATATATTTTATTTTTTAATTTTTTTGCTGGAGTTCTGCATTAAGGTATTTTATGCATTCTTTTTACCTGTAGACACCTCTCTTGTGTAGACATCCAAAAGCCACGAGACTGCAGTGGGGCACCACCATCTGATATCAACAGCTCCATCAGATTCAGAGCTGTCACTAACGTGATACTTTATTTTATTCCCCTTTACTCTTCATACAGATTTTTGTTGGTGTGGCAGGGGAGAGAGGTGTTAAGAGGAGGGGCAGAGATACCTGGGCAGCACAGAGTGTTAATAGAGACACTCAAAAGAGGAGAGGACTAGGATGTACCAGGAGGGGGCAGGGCTGAGCTAGGGAATTGATTCTCCTGGAGAATTTGAATCCTCTAGCAAATATAGCAGGACACTACATAATTATACAGTATGCAAACACTGCCAATCCTCCCCACAGATATCTTTTTTGTCTTGATAGGAAGTGATGGTAAATTTTTTCCAATAGGAGCAAAATTAAATTCTGACAGATACTCTAACTTTTCTCTGCATATTAACGGCTTCCCATCTGCCCTATAGCAGAACTATTGCTACAGGTTAGCTGGGCTGTGCAAAATCACATGTATATATACACGTGATTTTGCATTTGGCCATTGGTGGCTACAGCTGTTGATTACTGGGTCCCGGCTGGAGGTTCCTCGTCGGCACCTGGCGATCGCCGTGGAACACTGACAGGAGAGAGGTCTGTATGTAAACAATACAGATCTCTCCCCTGTCAGCACCAGCATGCTGTTTTGTAGCAGCATGGTTACATAGTAAAAAATACAAATTAATTAAATACTTGTGAGCCACTAGAAGTTTTCTTACTTTTAGAGCAATTAATTCCGTGTGTAAAAATAATTATAAATGATGAATAAGTGAACTACTGATTAATTAATTAAGTGCTTAACTAGATATTAGATCGCCAGGTACTTATTACACCTTCTCCAGGTGTATGGATGTTAGCTTTATATATCAATATTGTACCGCGCTCCAATATATACAACTATGAGTGCTATAATAAATTATAAATGGCTGAAGTGTATCACCAATAATTCAATAATACTTAAATCCATAATTGATATAAATATATAAATAAATTAAAAAAGAATCAATTAATATTTTTAAATGAGTGCAAAAACCTAATAAAAAGTGAAAATATGAAATATGAAAAATAAAATAAAATAAAAAAAATGAAAAAGAGAAAAAAGAAAAATTTTTTGGAATGGGAATGACAGTTCAGTTCATACGAATTGAGATGGTATTGTAGTTCAATCTAATCTGCGTGGTAGGTCAATGTTCATGACATGAACCTCTCTCTCCTTCCTCCTCTCCTTTCTCCTCAATACAGCCTTCTCAATAAGGACTTTCTCCTCTAGCTGCTTGACTTAATCCTCCATAGCCGATACATACAGAGAAGGGAAAAAAGAAACATAGTGTCTTATCCTGGGTAACAATTGTTTAATGAGCTTCTGATCTCCCACTCACATGGTATAAATAAAAGTAGCGCTTTGTATAAAATATATCCAAATCCTCCTACAAACAGCCTTGCAGGTGTGTGTGTCTTCACTCGATATACTCGCCGTTCCTCTGTGGATGCGTGATGACGTCACCGCCCCTCCCCTACGCGTTACGCTACAGGGACTCGTAGCTTCCTCTGGGGGACGTCCCCCAGAGGAAGCTACGAGTCCCTGTAGCGTAACGCGTAGGGGAGGGGCGGTGACGTCATCACGCATCCACAGAGGAACGGCGAGTATATCGAGTGAAGACACACACACCTGCAAGGCTGTTTGTAGGAGGATTTGGATATATTTTATACAAAGCGCTACTTTTATTTATACCATGTGAGTGGGAGATCAGAAGCTCATTAAACAATTGTTACCCAGGATAAGACACTATGTTTCTTTTTCCCTTCTCTGTATGTATCGGCTATGGAGGATTAAGTCAAGCAGCTAGAGGAGAAAGTCCTTATTGAGAAGGCTGTATTGAGGAGAAAGGAGAGGAGGAAAGAGAGAGAGGTTCATGTCATGAACATTGACCTACCACGCAGATTAGATTGAACTACAATACCATCTCAATTCGTATGAACTGAACTGTCATTCCCATTCCAAAAAATTTTTTTCTTTTTTCTCTTTTTCATTTTTTTATTTTATTTTATTTTTCATATTTCATATTTTCACTTTTTATTAGGTTTTTGCACTCATTTAAAAATATTAATTGATTCTTTTTTAATTTATTTATATATTTATATCAATTATGGATTTAAGTATTATTGAATTATTGGTGATACACTTCAGCCATTTATAATTTATTATAGCACTCATAGTTGTATATATTGGAGCGCGGTACAATATTGATATATAATGGTTACATAGTAAACCACACATAGGCCACATAGTAAAACAGCACACAGTTAACCCCTTCCCTGCCCAGTGTCATTAGTACAGTGGCAGTGCTTTTTATTAGCATTGATCAGTGTATTCGTGTCACTGGGGATGTCAGTGGCAGTTAGTCAGTCCCCCCCCAGTGTCAGAGTGCCCACCGCAGTCCCGCAATCCCGCTATAAGTCACTGATTACCGCCATTACTAGTATAAAACATTTTTTTGTTAAAATTCCGGTATATACCGCCATTTGTAGACACCATAACTTTCACGTTAACCAATTAATTTACACTTTTTGTTTTAGCAAAGACATGCAGCAGAATACATTTTGACCTAAATTTATGACGAAATTTGTTTTTTTTTTTATTTTTTACTGGATATATTTTATAGCAAAAAGTCAAAAATATTGTTTTTCTTTCAAATTTGACGATTATTTTTGTTTATAGCGCAAAAAAAAAAAAAAAAAACTGCAGAGGCGATCAAATACCACCGAAAGAAAGCTCCATTTGTGGGGAAAAAAGACGCAAATTTAATATGGGTGCAGCATTGCATGACCTTGCAATTTTCAGTTAACCTCTTCCTGCCAACATATTTCCGATCAACGGCCGTACGGGAGAGTTGCTGTTGTGGGGGGACGTTTCTAATTTATGGTGCACGCTCCCTGGTAGCGCACAGCACCATGATCTGTACCCGCTGTGTCCAC